GGAGAAACATGGGCAGGTTTTGTTGTGTATTTGGTTGTTCTAGACGCTCTGAATGGGATAAAATGATTTGTTTCTTCACTGTTCCTCTGGAAATTACTCATCAGGAGCTCAAACAAGGGAATTATCGGAAAAAAAACGGGAATTATGGCTAGAGAACATAAACTGCGAAGAGATTTCCTATGATACCATCAAGACACACTCACGTCACTTTCATCAAGGGTATTTGCTATTTAAATAGTTTCGTAGCTTATTTAATGAGAGAAGCACATTTACTGAACTAAAATTTAAAAAGAAAACATTTGCAGTATGAGTGGCAGTAGAAACTGTATCTTCCAACGCACATATAAACATGTCACTCGTCGTAGGACCGATGTTTTCTTTATTGTCTTGCTTATCCACAACTATGTCTTATAGAATTAATCACTTTTTGTGAGCGGATCTTTCTAAACGTTCGCGAGGATCTTTTCATGGCCGATTCTTTTGAGGTTCGGCTCACAGAGCTCTTCGACTCGTGCTCCATGTTGATCATAGGAGCCCAATGTGGGTTCATTGAATCCTAAACTAGTGCGGCTTTTCCTGGATAAATTAATGAAATTTTAGTTCAGTAAATGTGCTTCTTTCATTAAATAAGCTATGAAACAATTTAAATAGCAAATACCTTGATGAAACTTCGGGTGTCTTGATGGTACCATAGGAAATCTCTTCGCGGTTTATTTTTGCTAGCTATAATCCGCATCTTTATTTCGATAATTCCCTTGTTTGAGCTCCATGATGAGTAATTTCCAGAGGAATAGTGAAGAAACAATTCGTTTTATCCCTTTCAGAGCGTCTAGAACAACCAAATACACAACAAAAACCTGCCCATGTTTCTCCGATGCTGCTGAAGTCAATGACATAGCGTGCCCAGTGTCATGGCGGCGTAGGTACCATTGCTATAGAGGTCATGTGACGGTGCAAAGCCTCTATACAAGGACTGGATGGAATATTTAAAAAAGTGTCTACACACATCTCCAACACTCTGTCTCACTAGGAAATGAGGTCCAATGTCCAAAATTCCTGACTGTCCCTTTAATTAATCAAGCTTTATTTCTGACTCCAGCAGGTCCATATAGAACATGTACAAGACAGACAAACACAACAGTAATCATAGTTTCTCTAGTGCCTCCAGAGTTCAGTTTGTACCTGACACTGCTCTGCTCAAGCATTATTAAAACATGTATAATTTTATTTTGTGAGTCCTCAAGTTTCTTCATAAATGTATATACAAAGTTTCTCATCACAGCATTCAGTGTGGGAACTGGAACTGGTCCATCGAGGATCTTGTACGTCATTACATGGAACCTGCAGCTTCTTAAATAACTTAACTTGTGGTGCAGTTACAGTAAGGGTGGTGTGGAGTAAGCTTTGAAGAGATCTACTTGCCAACATATTAGCTTGCAATTTGCTGTCCAAGATTGTCTCCATGGAGATGTATTACTGAAAAAGCAGTAAATTTTTGGATCACATGAATGAAACAAGAAGCTATTTACTAGGAACAGGGCAGTAGACAGGTAGCCAGGCTGGGGCCACCTAGTCCCAATTTCATTTCTCTCCAGCAACTAGGTCAGGAATCAGAATACACTAGACGGTTTGCAAGAACCCCAAAAGTTGTAGACCGCGCAACGACCAGCAAAGAGCTGTGAAGCCATGACGTCAAACACAAGCGCCTGTCTTGGTCCCTTTTGTGGTACAGCACAACAGTAAACAAAGTGGTCGAGATGGATGTAGACGAAGAATAAATTCTGTGTTGGCAAGGATTCCAGAGATTGAGGATTTAAAGACGGAACAAAGAGAATGTTTGGTGAATTTTATCCAAGGGAAAGACGTTATTGCCCTTCTTCCTACGGAATTTGGCGCATTACATACATCAAGACCAAATAGCAGCGACTGGTTAAATAAAAAAGTACCCACCTATCATCCAGCGAATGAATCCTTATTCTGTGAGGTCAAATGGTTTCCACGAAGTGAAACTGGCTGATGAATCAGACTAGATAATTTTACTTCAAGTCAAATGTACTGAAATCAAGTTGAAGGGTCTGTCTGGAATTTTGGACATAGGACCTCATTTCTTAGTGAGGCAGAGTGTTGAAGACGTGTGGAGACACTTTTTTTAAATATTCCATCCAGTCCTTGTATTTGCAGAGGTCGCTGGTGCTAGGCTAGTGCATGTCAATGGCCATAGTTATCCTGCCACTAAAAACAGTCTTACCCACTCCACAAAACACCTGAAAAAAATCTAAAATTATTATATCGATGGTCTGGTGTAATAATAGAAGTAAAACCAACCTTGCATTTGAAGGATTTATGTCTGAGCAGCAGCAGCGAGTTGTACTTCCTGATAGAAAGCTTGGCAGTGGCGGACTGATACCACCTAACACCTATCTTACCGGCAAAGTAAAATTCCGCTGCTGCTGCGAAAATAGTCCCTCAACATGCGACGATTCATGCGATGTGAAAAAGCTGTACATTTTTGAAGCACATGAATGATATAAGAAACTATTTACGGTACTAGGAACAGGGCAGTAGACAGGGGAAGTGACAAAAGGGTCTGCTGTACCGGGCCCCAGGGTTTTAGGGGCCCAGAATTTGACTTTTTTCCTTTTAATTTATGTGTTAGGGCAAAATTGGTACTCGGCAAAGATATGAAACTAGTGTAAAAATGTATCAAAATGAAGCATGCCGAAACACAACCATCTCTCTCAGCTAAAACTATCACAAACTACGAGAGTGTACTGAAATCTCTGAAAGTGAATATTGTTTGATTAACCCTTACTTGCCTCCTGAGTAATAAAGGGCCCACTCAGTCTGTAGGGTTCGGCGGCGCTTCAGCACAAATGTAACTCTTAACGGTGAGAGCTCTGTCCTTGTATAGAAAGCAGTTTGGCAAAGTCATATGAACACATTAGCACTGATGAGGCAACAGCGCGCTCCTCGTCCACAAGTGTTTCTCTCTGATCAAGTACAAGGTCGAAATGTTTGGGGCTGTGTTCTCCTTTTCAGCCCGAGTCAATTCAAACTAATGAGAGAAGTGGTTTGTTGGAGGCAGGGCAGCAGAGATAGTGAAAGTTGGATTCTGTGTGTAGACTTCGTCCCCAAGGTAACCACAGTTTGTCCTGGCTGACACAGAACAGTGGCTCTTGTGTTGGTCTGTAGTCGACCAAAGAAAGTCTTGGTCAATTGAAGATTAATAAGGGAGCATGGCGAAAGCTCTCAGATCTATTACATAACTCTGTTTATCTGTACTCACGAGAATAAAAGTTCATGCAAAAAAACAACTATTCTTGCAGACAAAAATGACTATGAAATAAAGTAGTAAAAAGAGTTTAAACTTGTGAATCATATCTTCTCCCTTTTTAAAGCCTATATAAATACCAGAAAATACTAAATCTTCAGAAACTCGTCTCATATAAATAGTCAGAATTAGGGATGGATATTCGATTAAATTTTCTTAATCGATCATTGGGAGAATTAACAATCGATTTTCAATTAATCATGAGCTTTTTTATATTAAAATTATCGTTATTATTATTACTATTACTAATCTGCATAAATAAACTCAATTTTACAACATATAAACCATAATCACTCTAGAGCCACATCAGCCTGTTTGAGATTATAATGTGTTTAATGCAGCTTTGAGCACATTTGTTTACGTCTTAGAGAAAAGAAACTTAAAACCACATGGCTCATTTGCATAAACTATAAGCGCTGCTCTTATCTCTTAGTGCAGGTCTTTATTTAACAATTTATTTCACTTACTTTATGTATGTTGGTCTCTTTATTTATTTTGGCGACTGTTGTGATGAAAAGACTGAAAAGTGTTTGTCTTTTGGACGTGTGCGCATTCAACTTCATGTTGCAGTAACCGGGATTCTGTGTTTACATGCACCATGACGAAACCGGGATACTCAAAAAAACACGATCATACCCCGGGACACTGATGAGGTACAGTGTCTCCAAGGAGGAGCCAGAGCCCAAACGTGGGTCTGTGAGGCCACAACTCCAGTGTTTGTGCCTCGTCTCCTCACGCAACACTACGCACAGCAACCTACATTGGGTTTGTCGATTAAAAATGATCGTGATTGACAAAATTCTTAACGATCAATTATCAATTAGGCGACAAATCATGCCTGTCCCTCGTCAGAGTAGCCAACTAAAAAAAAACAATTGGTTGACTAAGATACGATCGACGTGTTGTCTTATCACTGAAAGGTTGATGGTTTGATAGTCTGATCACTGTTTAGACCAGTGAATTACTGTTGTTGTGTTCTCGGGCAAGGCACTTTATCCACACTGTACACTTTATACTGGCAGCTGCGTCCTCACTTAGTTAGTCCAGGGCAGCTAGATAATGAGACCCAAAGAGACTGATGCAAAAGTATTCTTCTTACTTTCAATATAGTCACGTCTACTTCTTGAAAGAAGTTTGTTTCTAATGAAGAATGTAGAAGTACCTGTATGAGATGAGAGATGAGAGGCTTATGTTATATAATGTACTTAATTGTTTATACACCGTTGTACAGTGTTGTTTTTTTAATTAAGTTGTCCTTCTCTCTATATAGATATACTGTACTTATGTTCTCCAGAAATGTATAGGGAACTGTCTCATTATCTCAAATTATAACATTGCCAACTTAGTGTTTTCTTTTTACTTTCAAATAACTTAATTTTAATGTTTAGTTTATGTCAAAATTGATGCCTCATTTTTCAAAATAATGAAAACACTGAAACCTTCACAAATCATTAACTTGACACACAATTAAAACCCTGTGGGACTAACAAAGATGTGCTCATGTCATTTTTAAAGCCATTTTCTAATATCGTCCTAAATAAAGTGTTCATAGTTATAAAACCATTATAATTAAAGAAAGTTGTATTAAACACAATGCAAAGATGATGCCTTTATATAAACTCCATCTCATCTCTCTCTTTCTGTGTGTGCTCTCTGGCTCCCTCTCCAGGCAGCTGCTAGAACTGCTGAAGCTGCTGTTTGACAAGTTCAAGGCCGTGGCCCAGGCCCATAACGTGGTGCTGTCCCACCTGCAGCACATCGCCGTGCAGTGTCCCCGAGGGGCTCAGGAGGAGGGCATCAAACTGTACGACCAGGCTGACGTCTCCGCTAAAATACAGACGGTTCTGCAGGTGAGAGAAAACACTGATGTCACCTTTTTGTTTTTCAAGCACAGCACAATTAAATATATCACTTTACAAATGTGTGTTTCAGTATTTTAGTTTAAAGATGTATCAGTGACCAGTTTTACAGCTTCAGTTGATATGGGATAAAATATTTCTTAAAAGTTACACTGCGCAACTTTTCAGGTGGAGGGTCCGCAACCTTTTTGTCTCCATGGAAACGTCATTGCTTTGTCTTGAATGTTCCACAGTATAGATCAGGGGTGTCAAACTGAAATTCACAAAGGGCCAAAATTAAAAACTGGGACTAAGTCGTGGGCCAAACTAAATAGTTACTGAAAAATTTTAGCAACATCTGCATGTTTTCTCTTCTTTCGAGATATGTAATGTTAAAGTTTTTCTTATTAAAATAAATGTTTCATAATAGTTTTGCTTAAACACTGAATCCAGAACAAGCATAATAAAAGAATAACAACATTTTAAATAAATAATGTCTCTATACCCTATCAGTATTTGTAAATCTGAGTCTGACAGGTCTGGTATAGATTAATTTCCTGATTTTTGTGTTTATTTTGGAGAAGTAAGAAATATACATTCTTTTACAATGGAACACATAACTTTAATGAAATCATAGGAGAAATAACAACAACTAAAAATAAACACAAAAATGTTAAAAATGGCCCAAAAAGGAGTGGGAAGAAGATTAAATCTATAAACAATGAATCGATTAGTCTTGATGATATGAAACAACCGCAAAGCAAAAATTGCATTTGCATTAAAAATAACTATATATTATAAATTAAAGTTACACTATGTAACTTTTCTGGCAGAGGGTCTGTTACTTGCTTCTCTCCAGGGAGATATTACCTGGAATGTTCCACAGTATGACATTACACAGCAGGTGACTCCACACGGCCACGTTCCATGTCAGATCTTTGGAGTACGAGCCCACGAGACATGTAGGTCAATAAAACCCATGTTACTGAGTGAGATGGAAGATGGATAAGATGGATAAATTTAAAGCCACACTGGGACATTCTATACAAAGCAACAGCATCTCCACGGAGACAAACAGCTGGCTTGACCCTCGATAAGAAAAGTTGCACAGTTCACCTTTAAAAAACAAACCTGACTGAATCTTGACCTCGAGTAAAATTTGACTAAACACGTTTTTTCTCGCTGTATTTCTGTCTTTCTATAACATGTGTTTTTGCCCGAGAGCTTGGTCATTTTTGATATCTTTTTTTGGGAGCGTCGTTTTGTGCTGTAACCTTGACTGCATAGATCTCACCATAGCAACCACCAAACAAGCCACCAACACAAGTCAACATCTAAAAAGTGTCCTGTTTATTTGTAACCGGCTGGACAGGCAGTTCCCCCAGCCAACATTGACAACATCTAATCAGTGTTCTTTTTTCTTTTATTCTGGTCTTAAACGGTGTATTTTAGGGATGTTAACACAGTTGTAACTAAAGCCTTGAACAAATAAGCGGTTAGACGGCGAATCAATGCTTATAATTATAATATTACATTGATTTCTTGGCTACTTTTTTTTATACAAGAATTAAACGGGTAAATGAAAGTGTTAATACAGAGCGGCAGGGGGATTGTGGTCTTGCCTTCTAGCGTTTTCTAGAGTTTTCATGTTCAGTTCTGACACATATGTCAATTTATTTTATTCCCACAATCTTGGTTTTCTCCCACTGTGTAAAAATATATTGGTTTGAATTAATAAGTAACTGGTGAAAGCTGAATGGACGTGTGAGTGAAGAGTTTTGTGGATATTTTTCTGGCCTTCTGTAAACCCTATGATGTAAAAAAATGGAACCTTAGACTTAGACATTGCATATTAAAGGTCCTATATTAGACAAAATTGACTCTTGTGAATTTTAAGCCATTTTAAAATGTTGTTATCTCATCTAAAAACATACCTGGAGTTGTGTTTTGTTTCTTTCACAAATGTTTTACCTTTCGTTCAGTAGAAAATAGCAATTCTAGGGCTGAAATTATGTGACGAAATGAGTCTAGTGAAGTTGTATGGAGTTTAAGGCCCCGTCCACACTAGTACATATTCGAGTCGTTTTCGTTGCGGATGCAGTGTTCGTCCGGACTAATCCGATTGAAAACGGCTCCAGAGACGGAATGATCTGGTGTCGCCAGCTTCCACGAATTCATTTGAGTACGGATCTGATCCGGTCTATGCGCCGCAAAGTAATTCACAGCCAAAACGCTTAGAGGCTAGAATATATGTCCATTCATGTATGCAGTCTATGTGTATGACCTACAGACGTATAATCTCTGAAAACATGAATCATCTCCAACACGATAGAAGCACAGAACAGACTCACCATCAGCAGAACACCCCTCTGTCACAGAAAGAACACTCATATTCCACTGAGTTGTGTCCTTTAGTCCGACAGAAGCTGAACCGCATCAGCGCACAATAGCGAGCTATTTTTTTGAGCGCTCAGTTTATGCAAATTTGCTCTATGCGTTTAAGTTTCATTTTTGTAAAACATAAATCTGTGCAAAGCTGTGTGGTTAGGGAAGGCTTGCGGACACAGGAACGACATGTATGGACGCAAATCGTTTCCGATACAGTGATACAGTGATTTGTTTCATTGTAAACGTAGCCTAAAAACACCGTGGACCACTTCATGTGTTATATGACATCACAAGGTGGAACAGTGTTTTCAGTCTGAGAGAAGAACTCAGCCTAAATCTGCAGTGTTTGTGTGTTAAACATGTGTGAATGAAACAAAACTCAACTCCAGGTCTGTTTGTGATGAGGAAGCAACATTATAACTAGGGATGTGCAAAAATATTGAAATACTGATATATCGTATCATTTAATGTGATGATACAGTATCGATATCGTGGACTGCTGTATTGATATATATCGCCAAGAGCATTTTTTTGGGTATATTTTACTAAATTATTTGTTAGAGAGCTACAGTTTTGTTGTTTGTTCAAAGCAAGAAAACTTGTTTATGCTACACATTTGACATTTTAACTGTTAAAATACTACTACTACTACTACTACTACTACTACTACTACTACTAATAATAATAATACTACATCTGATTTATATAACACTTTTTTGGGTGCTTGGGAGCAGGTGGTGGGTGTGTTTCCTATTCACTTTGCACAAGAAGCAGTTGAACAAAAACTTTTAGTATCAGAACCATGATTTAGACTTTATTTTTTTATTGAACAGTATCGGATTGATTTGCAATCCAATCCAATCCACTTTATTTCTATAACACATTTCACAAACAAACAGTTTCCAAAGTGCTGCACGAATATATAATAATAACAACAATAATAATCTTATAAAATAAACTACTAAACTAATCAACTAGTCTTAAAATATATAAAAATATGTATGAAATATATCATATCGAATCGAATCGAAACTGGACTGTATCGAGGTATGTATTGTATCGGCAACTTCAATGATGATACCCAGCCCTAGAAAATAGAATAATATGGATCCGTTAAAGTCTAACATGAGTAATAGAGCTCCAGACAGAGCAGTGCGTCCAGTTAGTGTCACCCCATGGGAATGTTATTGTCACCAGCTGCAAAGTATCAAATAAAATACTCAGTGATAATTTCAGTAGTCGATTAATCATGATTATTTGGGTTAAACGTTGCAGCCCTAGTTGTATTTCGCTTTCCAACAGTGTCCCAGGGGCTGTTTCTCTTCCCTGTTTTTGCGATATGTGATAATGTAATCTCTTCATTAGAATACTCATTAGATTTTCTTATTCACTCTCTTGTGTTATTATTTCCTGAACGATTGTATCAGTATCAAGCCTCTCGTCCATCAACAAATCTCAATCTGTAATACACTTTCTCACATAACCCCTCATGTAGTTTGTAATTTCCTTCTTAATCTCATTATCTTGTTTTTCTTTTTTTTTTCTTCCTATTACCATCTCCCCAAGTCCCTCCACCTCCTTGGTTTAGCCCAGTGTCACATATCAGAAATGTGAGAAATTAAATCTGGAGCTTCTGTAGTTTTTTTTTCATTTAAAGGGAAATATTATTGAAAATTATGGAACATTGCTTTGTATTGTGAGCTTTAAGACATGTTATAATGCTGTTGCTTCCTCAGAAACATACTTGGAATTATGTTTTTGTTTTCATTCACACATGTTTGAGATCGAAATGGTGACGTTTGTATTTGTTTTGGCCTTTCGTTCACATGGAGCCGGTGTTTCAGGTGGGAGAAAATGGTGTTTTTTGAGAATGGGTTCCAGAGTGGAGAAATCTGAGAACGCTGGTGTTGGTTTGTCGTGTGGACAAGCAAACCGCAGCTTTTGGGAAACGATGATGTTGCGATCCCGTTGCAACCCTCGAACTAGACTCCGCGGACCACAAGGCCGTTGCTGAAATGTGACGGGTGTGGCCTACGGAGCCGCTCCCTGTCACCCAGCAACCGAGACACGCTGCTAACATTAATACTAACAACACGCAACACGCAGATTACGCACGTGGATCAATAACAAAGATTACGCACGTGTAATTAAACTTTTTAATTTTGAGACCAAGTTATTCTAATAATTCTCATCCAAATCTTATGGCTAAAAATGAAAACTTGTGTTTAAACTTTTGCAAAACAAAACGGCGATATTTGATTGATGATGATGATTGATTGATTCGTTTTTATTTCTATATTTATGGGATACATCTAAGATAGGCTAAATTACCTGAAAGTAAAAAAATATATAATGAAATATGCATTATTAAATATTATTATCATTGTTAACAGCGCCACATACAGGTGTGGCATATGTATTACATTGTTTTCGCTCTGCTCTCCGTTCTCATCTGGATGTGAATATTTATTGATCTGAGTCATGTGTGGACGCAAATTTTTTTCAACCCGCCAAAAAAATCCAGGAGCTTTGTCGTGTGGACGTAGCCTTAGTCTGTCTCTCTACAAACCTGAAAATGCTCTGTTCCACCTTGTGATGTCATGAAGCTGTAGTTTTGAAGTTAA